AGCTGGATCCGCCACTGAAGTCACCATGGTTCCGCCCAGAACCCCCTATGCGAACGCCTGAATCATGTAATGAATATAAGCAAGTTAGGAACAAAACTAAAGAATTAATGAGAAAAATAAAAAACAATCACTGGAAAATGTTCTCCAAGCGCCTGGAAGGTGATTTCTACGGGCTTAATGGAATTATAATGCTTAGATAGATATAGGCTTAATAATAATGGAAGAAATTGTTCGAAGTGTTCGAGGGCTAAAGGGATACAAAATGGGGGATGCAGAAATCAAAATAGTGTGTTATGCTGACGATGCCGCTCTTATTGCAGAAAGTGAAGATGACTTACAAAGGTTATTACACTTATTCAGCCTGACCGCCAAGTCTCTAAATATGGAAATATCACCGACCAGAACAAAGTGCTTAACAACATCAAAAACCCCTCTGAGATGCAAACTGGAACTTGACGGTAGGTTAATCGAGCAGAAAATGAAATTTATCTAACTTGGGTGGAACTTTTCGGCTTTGCGGATATTGAAGCAGAGGTGTGAGATCAACAACAAAAGCAAATAGAATACTGTCTGAATGCCAACTGTCTGAATGCCAAATGGCGCAATAAGAGTATGGGAACGGACACCAAATCGAGGATCTACAAAACCGTCGTGAGGCCGGTGATGAAATATACCGCAGAAACCAGGCCAGAAACAGCGAAACCAAAAGACTCCTAGAGACAGCTGAGATGAAAATTATCCGTAGAATCACTGGAAAGACACTGCTGGATAGAGAGAGCAGCGAGGATATCAGAACAGCCTGTAATGTCCAGAACATTAATGAACGGGTAGCAAACAGGAAGAAGGAATGGAACGAGCACATAAGCAGGATGAACCACCGCAGACTTGTGAGAATCGCTCGCGACAAGTCCGCATTGGGACGAAAAGACCTTGTGAACGAACAAAGTGAACGATAATTGAACAGGCGATTCGCCCATAATCAAGAATGAAGAAGAAGAAGCTTTGTAGCATTAGTTATGGGACACCCAGTGAAAATTGCACTCAAAATCAGTAATTGAAATTAAACAAGCTTTCAATCAATTTCCGCTCTATGACATATTTATTTATCAAACCTTCGAACAACGCAATTTAAAATAAGAAAGTTGACCGAGACAAAACACTGTTGTCTAGCTAACAATCATTGTTCTTCGTGTTGCAGACAGGCAAAGCGCAGTTAACCAAGGACGACAACCTGGCTCCCATTTGGCAAACCCACTTAAATTCCGCATCCCATAAATGGTACAAAACCGCGAACCCGAGCCAGTCATTTGAAAATCTTCCAATGTCAATGTTTTACAGCAATAAATCGGCATTGAATATTTTTTGCTGATGAATAAACAATATGGAAACAAAGAAATAGCACAGTAAATAGACTAAAAATAGTCCGACGCAATTTAGCGACGTCTCGAAATTCCGTGACCCAAAACGAGTTGCTGAATTCATGCCAGTTTTTTGCCAATGATCCACTTTCGAAAGGTCTGTTACAGCTTTTAAAATAGACGCAGAATGGAACCTGTTGAATCATTCGAGCGATCAAACACACAGAGACAGACGAATGAAGAGCCAGGCCATTCAAGTTTAGTGTTGTGAATACCTATCTACTACTTGCGTCGCAATTTTCTCTTTCAATCGCGCCGTCGCATTTTCCAGCATAATTATTCGATTTGTATTCCATTCTGTACATTTGCTCGATCCATAAATCCCCATTTTCACATCAAGCATTCGTAAAATACAGGGTGATTCAAAATTGGCGTCATTATTTTTCAGGAGTTATAGGGGCACACTTGGCCCCGAGAAAAATATTGAAAACATTTTTAGATATTAGCTATTTTAGATATTAGATATTTTAAGATATTAACAGTTGAAAATTGGAAATATTGAAAAATTTAAACATTGGAAAAGAAAAATTGCTATCTTTACTACTTCAAATTATGAATTTGTTTTATGTTAAGCAAGCGCTCTTCTTCAACTTTTTGATGAAAATTCACACCCGCAACGTTGTTTTTTGTTTCTATGTTGTATCAGCTGGTTTACGGTTGATGGCGGTTCTTTTCATTCCCACAAATTCATATGTAAGAATTTCTTTTCACCATCATCACCAAAATCTTTTTTAAATTGTGGGTTACCGAGTTTCATCTTTTTCGCTTATCTTGGGTTTAATAATTTACTTTCATGGGAAATATTGTTCAAATCCGTTGAATTTATCGGGTACCGAACCTACTTTGTTTTCACTTGAGTTTTTGAAGTTCAAGAAGAAACCTTGAAAAACATTGTTGCCGTTCTTCTGATCTAGATTTTGGCAAATATATCGGCTTTTGATAAGAATTAATTTTTGCTACTATTTTTCCTGTACTCCCTTAACAGCCCCAAAGGAATGACGCCAATTTTGATTCACCCTGTATATCTGCACAGCTGAACAGGGTGATTCAAAATTGGCGTCATTTTTTCGCTAGAAGCATGACATCCCAAGTATTTGAATACAGTAAAGTCCGCTTATAATGAACCCAGTTATAGTGAACTTTCGGTTAAAACGAACTTTTTCCCTTTAATTGAAACGTCGTCCATAAGGACCAACGTATTTTTTTACTGGTTATAACGAACCCGTTTATAACGAACTTCCGGATATAACAATCACGTTTTAGGTTAGTTGCATATTCACTTTCCGTTTATAACGAACTTCCACGCTCAGCAACACCAATCGTGCGGAGTTGCTTATATTAGTGAGAGCGAGAGACAGGCAGTGACTTGTTGTTTTTGCCGCGTTAAGTATGTAAATCGTTTTAGAATGGAAAAACAAAAACGCAAAGCTTTTTTACTAAATGAAAAGTACGAGATTATTAATGAAATAAAAAGTGCAGTAAAGCAGAGTGACATTTGTAAGGAATTAGCACTTGGAAAGTTTACTGTTGCAACAATATGGAAATCATAGAGCTTGGCAAAAAGTTAGCCGAAAAACCATTGCAAATTGCTTTAACCATGGGGGGGATTTGTAAGAAAAGAAAATGATTATGAACCAGACGGTGAAAATCCACTTAACGAATGGTTAGAAAAGTATAAAAACTCTGACTACGAGTACGACACAGACGAAGATGTCCCAATGTTGTCGAAGAACAAGTTAAAACCAAATTGAGTGATTTCAATTTCTTCGAATATG